ATTTCCGCGGGGCAACTATCAGCCGATAGTTCCTCGACAGAAACACTCTATTGTTTAAATAGATAGTGAGTAGCGTAGCCAATCAGAGAGCAGCATTCGCGATAGAACGCTAGTAGATTTATACTAAAACTCCACTGAAACTCGATAGGAACACGGTACGTGTTTTTTATTTCTTAACTATTTCTTCCCACATAACTGTTGAAAATGCGTTACTTAGTGAAGCTCGCAAGTACAATCCCTGACAAAGGTTTTTTTTTTCAGACCAGCAATTGGTCTAAACGCGTCACGCAGTGCAGCCAAAACTGGGGTAAGACCGATGATCTTTCAATGGCTCTTCCCACGCCCAGTAGCCCCCGGTTTTAAAAGCGCAACGCGTTTTACGTCTGTTCAAGTTTCGGTCCAAGTGATAAAAAATTGTCAAATCGATCACATTGAATGTTTTGAACGAGCTAGCATGAGTATTGAATGCCATTTTGACCAAGATATCCCAAACAGGAAAGATGGAATAATCATAATAAGAGAAGAGAGACTTTCCATTCACATCTGTTTATCAACAGAAAGACTCGTACAAGATCGTGACAAAAAGAAATAACTTCACAATTGTTACAAAATTCTGGGGATGGGTAGGAAGGGTTCATCAATCTTGGAATTGACAGAGCTATTTAACCTGCATGCATCCATTTATTTTGTTTGCATCTATCAGTGGAATCCATGCCGTGGGTTGAAGAACTTCACAGGCGGCTGATGAAAGATAAGCAGAATCTACAAAAAAAAGTGCAGAAGTAACATTTAACCAATAGTCAGAGCACTTTTTCCGTGTTTACATAACCTCATCTAAACACGAGGAGGGTTGGGAGAGTTCAAGACATAACTTTCGAGAATTCTCCCAGCTCCCGAGTGTTTAGATGAGGCTATATAAATATGAAGAAGAGCTCTATTGCTTTTATAAAATAACTCTCAAAAATACGCGCGAATCTAAAACGTCACAACCGTGTTTACATACTCCCATCTAAACACACCTATCGACCAATGAGAGCGCGCGTAGTAGCTCAGTTATTTTGTAAATGAAATTAATTAAGAAGCAAAGAATTTTGTCGTTACATACTTAGGGATGGACGTTGAAATTTTAGCAAGTCTCATTAGTTACTATGCGTAAGTCTTTATCAGCTTTCAAACCACAGAGAAATAGGTAAGTTAACCATTATTTTTTTTGGTGTTGTCATTTTCGGTGTTGATCTGTTGTCCGTGTATTTTCGTGTTCTTCTTGAAAACGTTCTGTTTCTTTTAGTAAATACAGCAATTTAAGCATAGCTACAAGAGAGGACTGTAGGCTATGAAAGCCGCTGAACTTCAATGGGCCAAACAATAGCGTGCACTTCGAGGTTGACATGACCCGTCACGTGACTCTGATCACGAAACAAGACAGGAAAATCACTCAGTGTTTTCCATATCATAAAGAAACTTTTCTTTGCCCAGGCCCTCATTAATTGTCAACAGCTTGTGCTAGCTCTGTGCTCAGCACGCATCCCTACAGCGTGTTTTCTAGCCTTCTAGTATATCATGCCTTTTGGTTATATTTGCAATTCTGAACTTTGACTGAGACTTTTAAACCTTTAAAATACTTCCCCGGGGGAGGTACTTTGGGAATTTCTGGGTGGGGATGTGCCGCTGGGACCCTAGAACCCTTAGCCTATACCAGAGCTAGTTCAGCTGAATTTTGCTAACCTATGCTAGAGTAAACTCCCCAAATCCCCCCATTTATCGACACTGTTGAGGCTGATTTGCGGAAATTTAAACTTGTCGATTTGATTTTTTTATATTTTTGAGTGGCAATTCCTGGTTTCCTCACTCTAGATAAAATCTTCAACCAACTGGTCAGTTTTGTGAAAAATGATACCCTACTCTAGACCCAAACGCTCTGATTTATATACCCTCTCCTAGAGTAAACTGCTTGAAAACCATACCCTTCACAGCAGCACATACCCATATAGCCCATATATGGCAGTGCCCACCCCCCCGGGAATACTTCTAACCTTGATGCCATGGAACGGTTACTTGAGAATTTTTCGGAGTCTGCCAGACAACAACAGCAAAAAGAAAAGAAAACATTACATACTACAACACAGCAGATAGGGCAAGAATATTACTTATTTTTACAAGTATTCCCTTCTAATCAAAAAATTTAGTGGATCAGTGGCCTGAAGGGTGAATGAGAATTGGGATTTGCCTATTTTTTCACTGGGAAAATGGGATTGGGCCACCCTGCAAGCAGAGACTTTTCTTACGGTACATATGCTTTAAAAGAGGCTCTGCTTGCAAGGATGGATTGGGTACAATTTACGCTGAAAAAATGGGATTTATACTCCCTTCAAGAAACTCAGTGGAACACTACTGTTAATTAACACTGGTGCAGTGGTAACATTACCTTGATACAAATACAAAACGGACTTAAATAGGAGTCTGATCATGTGCTACATGCTTACATGCAACTCTGTTATCTTACCAGCACAAAGTGAAGTTCTAAGCAAAATGTTTACCTCCTCCTTGCTGGCATGCTTAATAAGACCAGTATTATGTTGTTATATTTAAACAAGTTTGTCTCTCAATGGATATATACCCATCTATACTGCGGAGTTGCATGCACCCAATTTGACAATGCAAATAAACATGCAGGGACTAATTGTCCACTGGTCCTGCTATACCTCCTTATTTCCAGTAGGGCTGATATGGACAGTGCAAAGACAAGCTCATGATGATAGCATGACACAAATTGTTTCTTTCAGTTCTAACCTACTGTTTACTCCAGACAAAACTTTAAAATGCAAGTTGAATGTTTGACTTGCTGACCGGTGTTGGAAGCTTATCACAAACATGGGACAATTATTTGCAGCATCTAAGCAGGTCCTTTTATTCATTTATTTTGTATGAAATAGTTATTAACAGTAGTAACAATATCTTGAGTTTTAAAAAAACAAATTATATTTTAAAATAAAATGAAAAATTATGTTAATTTTTATACCTGTCTTGGAAACACTGGCTTAATTAACTGTCAATTACAATTAGCCTGTCAGAGACAAATATTTGACCCCAGTTGGATCAAAACATACACTTCAGGTAAGTGCTAAAAAATTATGAAAAATCTGCTATTTAAACCACAGTTGTATACATATGTAGAACTGCAACTGCAGATTCCTACACACCTTTGTTCTCAAGTTCCACACAGGGTGACCAGCTATTTCAGGTCCAATAAATTGCTCTATGACATTCAAAAGTCGCTCATTTGTCCACAGGTCTTGAAAAGCCTTGTAAAAATGAGATTAAAAACGTGAGATTTCCATGTTGGGAGTACTAGAATTTTCGGAGATGATCCAATCATATCTGATGTCTAAAGACATTAATTAATCAATGATTTCAATATGCTTGCAGTAACTTATGGGTGTATTTTGGACACAATAGAGTGGGTCTTGGTAGGGAAAGACCCACTCTAGTGGGTCCAAAAGACACCAAACAAAATTCCTTGACCTCAGTCCTGGGATGTGTTTAGTCAAATATCACAATACCAGCATTTTTCCTTCTATGACTGGAGAATTGAATTAAAATTTTTAAAACTTCTACATGCATGGGCAGATTCTTTTTCTTGCATTATATATGCGCAATCTAATTAATTCACCTATTTTTTGGAAGTGTGCCAGCTGAGGCCTTTTAAGGTTACAGTATACCTTCAGATCGGCAATTTTCTTCAAATTTGGATTTTTGGTTCAAACTAATGGTCGAAGAGTAATCTCTAATTTCTGAAAACAAAATTGAAAAAAACCTAATATTGGCGGAGAAATGGATGTTTTACGTTATGGCCGGAAGTA